TCCTCAGCACCACATAAACAAAAAGAAAAAAGCTGGGAGTGGCGCTGTGGCTCAAGTGGTAGAGTGCTAGCCTTGAGCTGAATAGCTGAGGGACAGCGCCCAGGCCCAGAGTTCAGGCCCCACAACCAGACCCAAAAACAAAAGATAAAGAAAAAGAAATCAGTGACTGGGTGCTGTCCCTTAGCTTTCTCACTCAAGGCTGGCTTTCTACTACTTGAGCCACAGCTCCAGTTCTGGCTTTTTGGTATTTTGATTTTCTTCCAGTCCTAGGGCTTAACTTGGCTTGAGTTCTCTCCCTGAGCATCTTTACTCAAAGCTAGTGCTCTACCACTTGAGCTATAGCTCCATTTCTGTCTTTTTTGGAAGTTAATTGGAGATGTTTCACAGATTTTTCTGTCCAGACTGACCCCAAACCATGATCCTGAGTTTTAGCCTTTTGAATAACTAGGATTACAGGTGTGAGCCACCAATGCCTGGGCTGATTATGATCTTTCTAACAGATGACATCATATTCCATTGTGGTTTTTTTATTTGTATCTCCATGATTATATATAAAACATTGTTATATATAGTTTGCTATTTGTATATTTTCTCTTGAGAAGGGTCTATTCAGATTCCTTGCCCACTTTTATTTTTGTTGTTGAGATATTGTGGATATAATCTCTTACTTGATGAAGTGTTTGCCAAGGTTTTCTATGATTCCTCAGATTATCTTTCCACCCTTGATCTTGTTCTTTGTTGTTAGATTTTATATTCAGTGGCTCACTGTATTTTTGTAGCTATAATTGTAGTTACTCAGGAGGCTGAGATCTGAGAATTTTGGTTTGAGGCCAGACTCTGCAGGAAATTCTGTGAGACTCCTCTCTCCAATTAATCAGCAAAGAGCCAGAAGTGGAGCTGTGGTTCAAGTGTTAGCCTTGAGCACAAAAGACCAGGTACAGTGTCTAGGCCCTGAGTTCAAGCCCTAAGACCAGCATATGTATACACACATACACAAACACATGCAAAAAGTGGTTCTCATGTACATACAACTAGTTAGGCTTTTTGAAATCTAGAAATACATGCTGTTTAAAAATTGGAGTGTTGGGCTGGGAAGGTGGCTCAGTGGTAGAGCGCTTGCCTTGCATGCATGAGGCCCTGGGTTCGATTCCCCAGCACCAAATAAGAAAAAAGAAAAAAGCCGGAAGTGGCACTGTGGCTCAAGTGGTAGCGCGCTAGCCTTGAGCTGAAGAGCTGAGGGACAGCACCCAGGACCAGAGTTCAGGCCCCATGACCGGACCCCCCCTCCAAAAAAAAAATTGGAGTGTTTAGGTGTTTAGACTTATGTATATCTACTTGGGTTTATTTCTGCCACATTGTGACTGTGTTTAGAATCCTATTTTCTCTTATACTGCCTTTTTTTTTTTTTTTTTTCCAATCCTGGGGCTTGAACTCAGGGCGTGAGTACTGTCCCTAAGCTTCTTTTGCCCAAGGCTAGCACTCTACCATTTGAGCCACAGCGCCACTTCTGACTTTTTCTGTTTATGTGGTACTGAGGAATGGAACCTAGGGCTTCATGCATGCAAGGCAAGTACTCCTCCACTAAGTCACATTCCCAGCCCTACTGCCTTCTTTTGATTGAATGATATTTATGATACCATTTCATTTGCTACATTTTTTTTTTGTCGGTTGTGGGGCTTGAACACTAGGCTTGGGTGCTGTCCCTCAGCTCTTCAGCTCAAGGCTAGCGCTCTACCACTTGAGCCACAGCGCCACGTCCAGTGGTTTATTGGAGATAAGCATCTCACTGAAGGGGAGAAGCGGGGAGTGTAGTTGTGGAGATGGAAGGGAAGGGATGTTAGGGGAAAAACAAAGGAGGAGGCAACAATGCTTGATAAGAAATGTGCTCATTACCTTACTCGTGTAATGTAACCCCTCTGTACAGTGTTTTCACAATAAAAAAAACTTATTTTAAAAAAAAAGTCTCACTGACTTTCCTGCTCAGACTGGCTTTGAACCATGATTCTCAGATCTCAGCCTCCTAAGTAACAAGGTGCCCAGCTTAAACTTCTTTAAAATTATTTTTTATTATCTTTAGTTTTACAAAGTATTTCAATTCAAGCCAATCTGTGTGTTCTATGCATCTTGATCAATGTTGCCCCTTTTATCTTTTCCAACTCTACTCATCCCCACCTGACTCATCCCCTCAAGTTACCTAGTTTCATTTTCACATATGTACATTGACTATGACTGTATTCACCCACCTCTCCTGTCTCCATTCCTCTGCCCCTCCTTTGACCTTCCCAGCTGAATTCTACCAGATCGTTAAAGAAGAACTGACACCAATACTCCTCAGACTTTCCCATGAAATCAAAAGGGAAGGATCACAACCAAACTCATTCTATGAAGCCAGCATTATGATCACCCCAAAACTGGGCAGAGACCTAACTCAGGAAGAGAACTATAAACCAGTATCTTTGATGAATATAGATACAAAGCTCCTTAATAAAATGCTTGCTGCCAGGTGCTGCTGGCTCATGCCTGTAATCCTAGCTACTCAGGAGGCTGAGATCTGAGGTTTGAGGTGCAAAGCCAGCCCAGGCAGGAAAGTTCTTGAGACTCTTATCACCAATTAACACCAAAAAAGGTGTGGTGCTGTGGCTCAAGTGGTAGAGCACTCACCTTGAGCTGACCGACAGCACCTATACCCAGAGTTCAAGCCCCACGACCAACAAAATAATAAAGAATAAAATAAAAAATAACCAAATTCGACAACTAATAAAAAAAATCATTCACTACGATCAAGTTTGTTTTATTCCAGGGATGCAAGATTGGTTCAATATATGTAAATAAGTATACTATAGCATATTAACTTTTAAAGTGATTTTATGAATAAAAGGAACATTTTTATATCATATATTTGCAGTGTACCTTTTTCTTTATGTAAATGAATATTTCCGTATGGTACCTTTTTCTTTCATACTGTGTAACATTTTTCTTTTTGTGGTGTTGGGGAAAAAAATCGAGGACCTTGTACAAGGTAGACAAGTCCTACCTTCCCCTCTCCTTTCTTTTTGGAAGTAGGTTCTCACTATATAGTTCATGCTGTCCTTGAACTCATGACCCTCCTAGCCTAGCCTCTACAGAACTGGGATTATTAGCATGTGCCACAATGCTAGACTAAATAAGCACTTTGATTTTTAAAAATTTGTTTCTTCTGAGTTTTGAATTCTAGGTCAACCAGTAATGTTTTCTTTCCGAAGTTCTTTAAGGTTGTTATACCACTGTCCTGTAATTTTTATTGTTTCTATAAGATGTCATTCTTTTTTTGTGCTGGTCCTGGGACTTGAATTCAGTGCCTGAGTACCGTCCCTGAGCTGTTCTGCTCAAGGCTAATGCTCTACCACTTGAGCCACAGCTTTACTTCCAGCTTTTCTTGAGTAGTTTATTAGAGTTCAGAGTCTCATGGACTTCCCTTCCTGGGCTGGCTTCAAATTTCAAGCATCAATCAGATCTCAGCTTCCTTTGTAACTAGGATTACAGGTGTGAACTACCAATGCCTGGAACAAGATGTTATTCTTGTTGAAAGAATGGAGAGATTATTCTTTGTTTCTCTGTACTTGCCCTTTTCTCTGGCCAAGGCTAACATTTTTTTCCCTCTTTACCTGTGCTTTTTAAGCAAACTTAAATAAGATACATATTGTAGTTTCTTTTTTTTCCCCTGCCGGTCCTGGGGCTTGATCTCAGGGCCGGAGCACTGTCCCTGAGCTTTTATTCAAAGCTAGCACTCCAACACTTGAGCCACAGTGCCACTTCTGGCCTGTTCTGTATATGTGGTACCGAGGAATCAAACCCAGGGCTTCATGCGTGCTATGCAAGCACTCTTCCACTAAGCCACTATTTAGTTTCTTAATGTCTTTTTTCCTTGGAGTATTTTTTTTTTGATGCTCAGATCTGTGGGTTTAATAGTTTTCATCAGCTCTGGAAATTTAAATTCTTTTTCTTCCTCTCTATTAGTAGACTCTTTGTAGTTAATCTGCTTGCAATTACTCTCCATTTTTTTTCAAATTTTGAAGTTATAATCTGCTGTGTGTGTGTGTGTGTGTGTGTGTGTGTGTGTGTGTGTGAGTGTGAGTGAATGAAAGAGAGAGAAGAGACAGGGACTGGGGATTTAATTTAGGGTCTTGCATTTGTAAAGCCAGCCTTCTACCACATGAGCCATGCCCCACTTCTTTTGCTTTTCAGTTTGATTTTGAGGTAGGATTTCAATAACTTTTGCCTAGGCTGGTCTTGAATCATAATCCTTGTATCTCCACCTCCCAAGTAGCTAGGATTATAGGCATGTATCACCACACCAATCCTTTTAAACCCCAAAATGTGTGTGTATATTATATAATTCAATGAATTATATTTTTCATGTTTTAGAGTTAAATTTAAAACTTGGGAAAATATTTTCTTTTTTTATACTTATTTTTCTCTACTTTCTTAAACATGGAATATAGGTATATCCTTGCTTGCTGTTTTTTAATCTGAAACATTATGATGGTTTGTTTAATCTCCACACACTCTTCTCACACTTTCATATGAATTGTGTTTCCTTGCTTTTATTTTTTATATGGCTAGTCATTTTCAGTTGGGTGCTGGCCATTGTTAATTTGACTTTGCAAGTTAACCTTTTGCTTTGTTACCAGACTTTAATAACCTTTAATGTATGCCTGATTTTTCTCTACTACTGAGGCATTGTAATTCTGAGTGTGTTGCCCAAAGTCACGTATATTGCATGATGTTTTGCTCTAGCTGACAGCTGTTTCCAGCCCAATATGAGCCTTGGATATTGTTCTGCCACCTCCTTTGTGAGGGGCTTTCACAGATGTGTACAGATAATATACAAGAGTAGATCCAGTATGTTATCATCCTTACTTGTAAGTCATCTATCACTGTATTCATCTATCTTTGTTAGAATTTTCTGTTGAAGTTGGCTTTTAGTACATTTAATTCTGATTTTTCTCTGTTCTTTCAGCAAAAGAATGAATCATGGCTGAGGCGGCCAAGAAGACTGAGCCCAAGAGTGAGTCAGAAAGACCCATGATCAATGATCCCAACGAAACATGGATTACACGCATCTTCAATTACAGATGCTACATCACCTTCCTTACTGGCTTCTACAGTTGTGACTGGGAATACGAAGAGTGGGATAAGACGGAACTTGGATCCTGTTGCTGCTCTCGGGTACTGTTTCATAGATGTGGGGAACATGATCTGGATGTGCCCATTAGATAGCTCATTAGAACCTTCGGAATGAAGGAGCCAAAAGGCTACACAATCCAGGAAAGGATTATGTCAATTCTAGAGTCAAGTTAAACTTACTGAACCAAGGACTTGCTGTTCTCATTTTCTTTAATCATTTTCTTCCTCACAATCTTCCTCCGCTTTTTTCCTTTTCTTCCTCCTTTTCCCTCTCTTCCCTATTCTCTTCTCCCAACTCGTTCCTTTCCCCTTTGTCCCCCTCTTCCTTTTCTTTCTCCCTCCTCCTTCCTTTTCCTTCTTTCCCCTAACCCTTCCCCCTCCCTTTCCTACCTCCTCTTTTCCTTCCTCTTGTTCTTCTTCCTCTTATTCTTCTCCCTCCCTTCTTCCTTTCCCTCCTCCTCCTCCTCTTTCTTCTCATTTTCATGCCCACTCTCCTCCCCTGTCTCTTCCTTCCTCTTCCTCCCCTCTTTTTCTTCCCTCCTTTCTCCCTTCCCCTTCACACCTATCCTTTCTCCTCATTTCTTTTTTTATGGTGATATGAATTGTATACATGTCTGGCAGTTATTCTACCACTGAGCTGCACCTCCAGTCCCTCACTCTAGTCTTTTTTTGTTGTTGTTGTTTTGTTTTATTTTTTTTGGGTCCGGTCATGGGGCCTGAACTCTGGGCTGGGCACTGTCCCTCAGCTCTTCAGCTCAAGGCTAGCGCTCTACCACTTGAGCCACAGTGCCACATCCTGCTGAGGAATCGAACCCAGGGCCTCTGGCATGCAAGGCATATACTCTACCACTGAGCCACCTTCCCAGCCCTACTCTAGTCTTTTCTTTTCTTTTCCTTCCTTCCTTCCTTCCTTTTCCTTTTTCTTTCTTTCTTTCTTTCTTTCTTTCTTTCCTTCCTTCCTTCCTTCTTCCTTCCTTCCTTCCTTCCTTCCTTCCTTCCTTCCTTCCTTATTTTTGCCAGTTGTGGGGCCTGAACTCTGGGCCTGGGCACTGTCCCTCAGCTCCTCAGGTCAAGGCCTGTGCTCTACCACTTGAACCACAGCACCACTTCTGTTTTTTTTTTCTGCTTATGTGGTGCTGAGGAATTAAAGCCAGAGCCTCATCATGCATGTGAGACAAGCACTCTACCACTGAGCCACCTTCCTAGCCCTATACTGTCTCTTTTATGTCAATCATTCATTTGCATTTATTGTGTGTGTGTGCGCCAGTCCTTAGGACCTGGGTGTTGTTCCTGAGCATTTCTGCTCAAAGTCAGCACTCCTACCATTTGAGCCACAGCTCCACGTTGGGCACTTTTGGTAATTAATTGAAGAGTCTTATGGACTTTCCTGCCCAGGCTGGCTTCAAACCGTGATCCTCAGATATCAGCTTGCTGAATAACTAGGATTATAGACATGAGCCACCATGCCTGACATTTTTATTTTGTTTTGTTTTGCTTTTAACAGTCATAGCTTTATTCAAAACACAGTTGTACAAAAGTATTCAAAATTTTAAGGAGAGATTCTTTTTTTTTTCTTTTTGCTTATGTGATGCTGAGGAATCGAACCCAGGGCCTCAGGCATGCAAGGCAAGCGCTTTAGAACTGAGCCAACTTCCCAGCCCCTAAGGAGAGATTCTTGAAGAACTTAACATTATATTCATACTGCTATAGAAAGAACATTAAAACAGAAAATAAAAGTTCTACAAAATATAAACCCACCCTTACTTACTTGCATGAAAATACCACCTACCAGAACTAAGGAAGTATTAAAAGTTATTTGGAGGCTCTAAGTGTAGTTTTCAAACCAAAAGAACTCTAATTTTGATTGCACAATAAGATGATTGATAAGAAAGGCAATATATATATTTCACTTTAAGCATTTTACACTAACTTTCCTTTCACGCTATCAACCAGGCATGTTTGTATGGGATTAATCTAGCATTCTTCTGACTAAAAACCTGCCCTTTCAGAAGAAATAGTGGCTCATCCAACATACATTGAAGCAGTATCATTCTTTATTTTTCATCCTATTAGATCTCATACTTACTTGCAATATTGACCACTATACTTCTGATTCTTTCCCCTAAGGACCATTTAGGATACTTGAACTAAGCGACTTTTTCTCCTGGTGACTAATACTCATACATTCTTCACATTTTATAATATTATATTTAAACATTTCAATCTCCCATCTAAGAAGGCCAGCAAGGTGCTTTTTTTGAAGGCATGGAGAGAGGGAAGCTACCGCCCATACTTCAAAGGAAATTACAGGATGCCAGGCAATGTATGTCAGGATCAGATGTCCTGTAAGCAGCCCCTCAGAGGGCAATACATGAATCTTTGAGGATGAAACTTCGCTGATAACTGCATTATACTGAATATGTCAGGATAGCCAACGACAAAGAATGAAGCCAGTACGAGAAAGGAGCTATTTGGACAAAAAACAGCAAGTCTATAGCAGGACTGTCCATGCCAACTGGTGAATCCTTCACACCATCATGTGTTGTGGATGTCATGATGTGGTAATGTTTGCCTTAATGAGCTGTGGTCTCTCCATCTCTCCATGTTCTATATACCTCCTTTGTATTCCTCCCATTCTACCATCTTGGAATGAGTGTTTACTCTGTTTCCTTGTATGTTGAAAGTATATAATGTGTTTTCCTTTAAATAGTACAGGATTTCACAGCTAACAAATTTCTCTGATTCTCAGTAGATCCTGTGGATGTGAACTTTTGACAACAATGAAACTAGTAAGACTTGGGGGATTCGTGGAAATGAACTAGATGTATTTTGTACTGTGAGATGACCAGGATCTTTGGGGAACTATGGGAAGAATAATAGGGCTAGAATATAAAATGTTCTCCTGCGAGTTCATTTATTAAACACTTGGCTCCCTGCCAAAAATAAAATAAGGATTGTATAATTGGCAGAGTGAGCAAGTTTTAGGAATTAACACAGATATTTGATTTGATAAAATTAGGGGAAAATGTTCACTTTTGGAGAGTTCAATCTCTCCCACAAAATTTATCTGAAGTGTTTTATTTCAGCTGGTGGTGCAGCCTTTTTAGTTTTTCCCAAACTTTATAACTCTTATTTTTAAGCACTAACTTATATCTCTTAAGCTAAATAAAGGAGTGACAGCAATATTATACTCAGTGATTTGTGTCTCAGAGAGAAGCAGAACATCAGATAATTTTCTGATACTTGAAAAAATTTACAGACATGCAAAACAAAGAGAAACACATTTTAAATTGCCCAGGTTATCTTAAACATAGAGCCTCAATGATAAAAGGGAGATAGACTTGTCTACTCTCAAGTTTTAGTTAGTAGCCATATAAGGAAAGACACAATAATCACAAATATTTTTCTATTTTTAATGGGCAAATAATTTGAAAATAAATCTCAATTTTCATATCAATTTAGTTTCAAATATTCCAGCTGCCTACTAAACTCAGAAAAGTTGCAGATACTTTACAAGGTCAGTTTCCAAGTCATTTGGAAAACCAATTTAAAAAATCAACTGTCTCAGGCTGGGAAGGTGGCTGGCTCATGCATGAGGCCCTGGGTTCAATTCCACATACCCAGAAAAAGCTGGAAGTGGGTGCTGTGGCTCAAGTGGTAGAGTGCTAGCCTTGAGCCAAAAAAGCTCAGGGACAGTGCCCAGGCCCTGAGCTCAAGCCCTAACTCTAGCAAAAATAAAAATAAAAATAAATGCTAATGCATTCCTCAAGCCTCCTCTACTTTTCTTTATCTTGATATAGCATTACATGTTACCAACAAAAAAAAAATTAGCAGAAGTTGAGCTTGTTGCATAAAACTGCATTCATAGTAGTGTATCTCAGAAAATTCTCTAATTCTTCCACTTTGTTTAAAACCCAGACAAGCCTGAAAAGGTAGTTGAGGTATAAGACTAGGGGTTTTCTGGTTAGCCACACGTTTCCATCTTTCTTTTGGGAAAGGAGAAGGAATGAAACTAGAAGGGAAGCTGATCATAAAGAAGTGAGAGGAGACTGTGTTTCTAAAAGAAAATAAACCACCACTGGCATGCATCATCTACAGCCTGAAGAAAGAGCGGCCTGCATGTCTCTGGACTTAACATAAGCAATTTTTCCTTCTAAAACAAAATCTCCTCAGTTGCCATAAAACTCATCGACTATATTACTGAGTAGAACTTCCCCCATATCCATGAACTATACTGACTGCTAAATGGAACTTTATGATTCTCTCCAATTTATTCAAGTGACAAGATGGCCCCCAAATACCCAAAGCCAAAAATAGAAAAGTAAAAATCACTGCCTTCAAACTAAAAATCTGAATCACCTCTTAAAAAATAATCAACTTATTAATCAAGAGGCTATTTTTCCTTTCATATTAGAGCTGACCATAATGTTAATTAATTTATAAATAACCTTAAAACCTTAACAAAGGAAATGTACCAAACTACACCTGTGTAAAATTGATCATATTTTAATTATGGGCTAAAAACTGTCTTAAGACAGTAAGCCTGAATTAGAGAAATTAATATTCCAAATAGATTGCTAGAGTATTTCACCATGGAGGAGTTGAGGGAGGTAATGACTTTTTTTCTCTACATACAACATCATCATTAGCAAACTAGTAAATCTTAATGGGAATGATAAGGCAAAAATAGTAAAACCACACTTCTGTAAAAGTTATGGTAGGGAGAACTATCATACCTGAAAAGCAATGAAGATGTGATCATTGCTACCCACTCAGGGGAGCAAGGAAATCGAATCTTAGAATGATCTAATCATCTTCTTCTCTATCATCCTGAACATCTTGTTTTCTCTTCTCTCCATGAAGGCCTCATCTTCTTCCTCATCCTCCTCTTCCCCTTCTCCAACATAGTCATCATCATCCTGAATTTCTTCTTTCATTAAGTATGAAAGGCCCATTTCCTCTTCTCCCTCTCCCGATTCTGAATCTGCTTCATCTTCCTCCTCTTCCTCCTCCTCCTCCTATCCAATTTCATCTTGATCCTC